GGATGGGAAATGTGGGGGAAATTGGGGAAAAAGGGATGGGAAATGTGGGGGGAAAGTTGGGGGAAAGGGGATGGAAAGAAGAGGAAAAACTGGGGGAAAATGGGTGGCAAAGGTGGGGAAAATTGGGGAGAAAAAGGTGGGGAAAATTGGGGGTGGAAAGTGTGAAAACTGGGGAAAAGGATGGGAAATGTGGGGGAAATTGGGGGAAAAGGGATGAGAAATGTGGGGGAAATTGGGGGAGGAAGGGATGGAAAATAGAGGAAAAATTTTGGGTGGATGGATGGAAATTGTGGGGAAAATTGGGGAGGAAGGGATGGAAAATAGAGGGAAAATTGGGGGAAAAGGGATAAAAAATAGAGGAAAAATTGGGGAAAAAGGACGGGAAATGTGGGAAAAACTGGGGGGAAAAGGGATGGGAAAGGTGGGGGAAATTGGGGATGGAAAGTGTGGAAATTGGGGGAAAAGGATGGGAAATGTGTGGAAAAATTGGGGAAAAAAGAGATGGGAAATGTGGGTAAAATTGGGGGAAAAGGGATGGGAAAGGTGGGAAAAATTGGGGATTAAGGGGTGGGAAATGTGTGGAAAAATTGGGGGAAAAGGGATGGAAAATAGAGGAAAAACTGGGGAAAAAGGGATGGAAATTGTGAGAAAAATTGGGGATTAAGGGATGGGAAATGTGGGAAAAATTGGGGGAAAAATGTGGAAAATCTGGGGGAAATTGGGGGTGGATGGATGGGAAAAATTGGGGATTAAGGGATGGAAATTGTGAGGAAAATTGGGGATTAAGGGATGGGAAATGGGGGAAAAATTGGGGAATAAAAGGATGGAAAACGCAGGGAAATTTGCAGATGAAGAGTGCGAAAATTTGAGGATTAAGGGATGGAAAATACTTTTCCCATTTTTTCCAATTTTTCCCCATTTTTTTCCCATTTTTCCCATTTTTTCCAATTTTTCTTGTTTTTCCCAGTTTTCCCCATTTTTTTCCCATTCCCCCCCTTTTTTCCCCTTTTTTCCTATTTTTTCACATTTTTCCCATTTTCTCCCATTTTCTCCCATTTTTCCCCATTTTCCCCCTTTTCTGCTATTATTTTTCCCCATTTTTCCCAATTTTTTCCCATTTTC